AAAGATGTTTTGGCAGCATATGGTTGGCAGTGCAGTAGACCAACACTAACGGCCTGTTCAAAACAATTACCTGTACAAACAACCACCCCTGATCTTCGACACTTATATGACCTAACTGTGTTACAAGTGCAGTAGAACGCTTGCCGAAACAACAAAACATGACTATTTGTGTCTTATTTTCCCAGATGGAATCAGCCAGCGATCGAGTCAGTTTTGGGGATTACTCTGCCTTCAAAGAGGACACAATAGCTAACTTTGAGGTGAGCTTTGTTCTTATGATGTTGTTGGGGATTTAACGTTGTTGCCTTTGTGGTATCCTCCTCTTCCTCCTCCTCCTCCTCCTCCTCATTCTTCCCCTCTTCCTCCTCCTCCTCATCCTTCCCCTCTTCCTCCTCCTCTTCTTCCTCCTCCTCTTCTTCCTCCTCCTCTTCTTCCTCCTCCTGCTCTTTTGTTCATCTTCTTCCTCCTTTTGGCCATCTAATGAAAAATTGTTAATTTTTGTTTGTAAGTTTGTTTTGTATTGTTTTAGGGAGGGGGGGGGGGGGTTGTCTCTTTGAGCTCAGTTTATCTATTTCACGGCGCACAGAAACAGGATACTTTAGTTGAGAACTCAGGTAACCAGTGGCGCGCTGACCTGTGACGGTGAACGGGGTCATCGCGTGGGCATTCTTCGGTCAGCGTGACCGCGCGGGAGGTTTAGAAAATCGTATTTTTCATTCTGAATTGAGCCCTAATTAACACAATAACATTGACTTAAAGACATCACTGCATGCGGGCATCAGTAGTTCCAAGTCTTTTTCATGATATTTCAAAAACAAAAAGAATCAGCATTGGTCTGTTTAGTTGTAACAGACTGTGCAAGATGGTCATGTCTGATTCCCGATATTGTTTCTAGTTATGATGTAATGAACGCCGATAATTAGAAAACTGAACCTCAGGATTAGTTCATCTTTAAGGGACACAAACGTAACACATAAGGGTATCTACTCACCAAATTTCACTGCTACCGCAGTTTGTGTGACCTCAAAATGGTTCATCTATGCATCACATTGTCGTAAATATCCACATATTTCCCTCACTTGGAAGACAATAACTCCATACGAATCATGGCGTAGGCTATAGGTTTTATTCTCTATATAAGTCTTGTTGTTAATTGTTTTTCTTTTTTAGTGAGTGGATGCGTCTCTGTCTTACTCATTGCATGGCTGATGGTTTCTATGTCTTTGATCATGGGAGATGTTGTGCTGTCTTGGGTAGGCCTAACTGTTTCATGTATCTGGGCCGGAGTTGATGAAGCCAAGGGAGTCGCAGAAAATGTTTGGCCTTTAGTGGGTGTGAATGATGACGATGGAGAAACACGGACAGTGCTTACGCTGTGCTCACAACTGCTATCATGCGGTATGGGAGAATTTGTGACCGATGTTGTCTGACTGATTGTGTCGGTGTGAGCTACGATGTGACTGTCCTGAACCATTGTGTCCGCATGTTGTACACCTACGTGTTGGTCATTGATTGGGACAACAGACTGAGGGTGGGTGTGGCAAGTATGACTTGTACTTGTGTGTGGGTCGTTTTGTTGTGTTGAGTCTGTGGTGAGAGCACGCGTACATGTACTCTGTGTGGTTGTGTCTGTCTCAGAAATGTTGGTGCTAGGACTAGCTTGGTGGGTGTATTTTTCATGGCTGCTGGGGTGAGACTGGGGGTCACGGGGCTTTACTGTTGCACAGCCAAAGAGAGCAGCCTTTTCTGTTCACAGACTGCATGTTTTTGCATCACAGTTTCCATTGTAAGCACACCAGATGTGTTGACTGCTGTCAAAAGTGTTTCTTAGTGTTTGTAGGGACCCTGCACTATTTCGACGTTTAGCGTCATGGATTGTTTTATAGCATTTCAAACACACAAATTTGGAGTGTTTATCACTAGCGTCATCTTTGATACTCAACCCAAACACAAGGAAGAGGTCACTGGCTATTTCCGAACATAAATACGGCTTTTTATAGGATTTTCTCTGCTTCCCTGTAATGTTCAGTCTTCCGCACACTCTACACAGACAGTTTAAAGCGGATACATGACTTTCACTGACTTTCAGGAGTGTGCTCCATTTTAAGGTCTCCGTTGTATACGGCAATAACGTTAGTCAATTCGGGGGCCCAACATAATAATCCGATGTAGCTTAACAACCACAACTGCGGTAGTACTGAAATTTATACACTCAAAACATGATTTATTAATGAACTCACAAATCGAATCCCCCAAAAAATTCAATGCACCGTTTTGTTGTAATAAATGATTATTTATCCTCAGTTTGTAATAAGAAAAGCGTGTTACACAGGCAGCAAACAGACACGTGTAGAACACTTGGTATAACACGTAGAGGACTGGGACTTTCTTTTAAAGGTTGAGAAATGGTGTTGCTAAAGTCTATAAATTAAAACTACTTGGTGGGTCTTACGGCACCACTGTAATTTAGACAGTAAATGAGACGATTTTATAAAGAACGCACCCCAGTTTATAACGGTGCGACGGGGTCAAATGACCCCAATAAAAAAGGTCAACAGGTACCGGGCGAGGTGATAAATCACCGCCGGGCGGCAGGAGCCGCGGTACAACTGAAAGGCGCGATTTCGGCTGATTTTGTGCGCCGTGATTTAGGAGATGATGATAATGATAAATGAGAAGTAGCTTATGTAAAGGTAAAATTCACGTTCAACAGCAAGATCTGTCCGCTTTACAATCTGTATAATAATAATAAATAGCATTTGTATAGCGCATGTCCCCGCTCGAAAGCAAGCTCTATGCTCTTTACACTATATTATTACCCCAGCAGACCATTGAACACTCAGAAACATTCTCAGCTTCCCGGGAAGCATACAGTGCAAACAGCTGGTTAAGCGCTCAAACACTAACAAACTGGCAAGATCTTTCACCGTCTATAGCTGGGTACCCATTTTCACCTGCGTGAAGTGGGGAAGATTCGTGTAAAATGCCTTTCCCAAGGACACAACGTCGGGCCCACGACTCAAACCCCCGGACCCGCCACCACATGATTACGAGTCCGATAGCCTTACCGCTAGGCCTCCAATGCCACTGATAGAAAGACTTGCCAGCTGTGATGCCTGTTTTTTGCCAAATGTGCCATGTTGTGAGTCATGTGTGTATTTGTACGTTTGTTTTAGGTTTAGTAGAGGTTTTACGGCGCTCGCTAAGGTTATATGAGCGCCAGAAGATTAGAGGTGTTACAAAGGAGTAACAAACATAAAAAAGAAGAAGGGGAGATAAGGACGATAGATGTTTGATAGGAAAGAAGAGGCAAACCACACCAGAGCACCCGCCAACCACCCACTACGTTTGTTTGTCCTGCCAGTCATGTGGATTTCTTGTCTCTCCTACAGGAATGTGTGATTGGCGGGTGATCGGGTGTGGTCTGCTTCTTCTTTCTGATCAAGCATCTATCATTATTATCTCTCCTCCTGTGGGTGGTTGGCGGTGCTCTGGTGTGGTGTGGGCTGCTCCTTCTTTCCTGTCAAACATCTTTTGTCCTGATCTCTCCTCCTTCTTTTTTTATATTTGTTATTCTCTCGTAACACCTCTAATCTTCTGGCGCTCATATGACCTTATACAGTTGCGAGCGCCATAGAACCACTACTAAAACTTAAAAAAAAAAACATCTGTCATCCTTACCTTTTTTTTGTTTATTTTTGTTACTCTCTTTAGCACTCATATGACCTACCTAACTGTGTTGCAAGCACTGTAAAACTCTTACTTTAAATTAATTTTTTTAAACTCGATAATCTTCTGCACTTGTATGACCTATTTTTTTGCAAGTACCATAAAATTCTTACTGCAACTAAGAAAAAAAATACTCCCTCTAATCTTCAGCACTCGTATGACCTATTAGTATTGCAAGTTCCATGAAACTCTTACTAAAACTAAGCTTTACTAAAGCTAAGCTTTTGGTTTTAGTAAGTGTTTTACAGCACTTGCAACACAATAAGGTCATATAAATGTAGAAGATTAGAGGTGTTACAAGAGAGTAACAAACACTAAAAAGAAGAAGGGGAGGTAAAGACGAGATGATAGATGTTTGATAGGAAAGAAGAAGCAAACCACACCAGAGCACCCACCAACCACCCACTAAGCACCCCCCGGGGCGGTGCCACTGACTGAAGTGTCTTTTGGCCCTTCCCAAAGGGGGGACATTTCTCGTTCTAATGCACAGTAGAATTGTAAATGGGCTGATTCAACAACGTCATGCTCATGACTGCCTGAACTACAACAGGGAACTGCTGCTTTTTCTTTCCCAATCCTTACTATCGTCATTTTTCTCTACTTCTTTTGCATGTTTGTCACTCTCTTGTGACCCGCTATTTCCGGGGTGCCTTGATAGTCGAAGCAGACTTTGTGCTGTTGAAGCTAGAGAGGTGAGCAGAGTGAGTCTGATTCCCTGTAAAGACTTCTCTGTTGACACCCACCCCTTGGTGCTCATATGACCTTATGCAGTTGTGAGCCCCGTAAAACCTCTAATAATTCAAACAAACCCTCAAAGCTAAGCTAAAACAGTTCCATGTATCATGTATACGTGTGTATGTGTCTCTCTCCCCTGCAGGAGGTCAACTCGACCCTGCTGAGCCTGAACCGCGAGCTAGACGCGGTCAGCATGAGGATCAGCTCGATGGGTCAGAACCTGATCAAGATGACCACTGCCTTGGGACAGGGGGGTTTGTTGATGCCCGGGCCTGTCATGCCGGAAGCTTCTGCAGCCTTTCCCAGTAACGGTGCAGACGCTCCTTCTGAGGGAACCGCAGCCGGGGAAAGTACAGCTAATGCAGCAGCCGGGGAAAATACGGATGGCGCAGCAGCTGAGGATAGTACAGATGGGGCAGCAGCTTGGGATAGCACAGCTAATGCAGCAGCCAGGGATGGTAATATACCATCCAATGATAGCACAAGTGGTAAACCATCCAGTGAAAATGGGATCCCATCAGAGGGTGAGAGCAGTGGTCCTCCACAAGATGACCTTCCCACAGTGTCCACAGCTGCCCACGAGACACCTGGTAAGTGAGATAAATCTTCAGTGCCGGAGAAATAAATCTCATATAGTAGGAATAAATCTTCTATATAGTTGAAATAAATCTTCAGTGTAGGAGAAATAAATCTTCAATATAGTAGAAATAAATCTTCAGCGCAGTAAAAATTTCTCTTCAGTAAAGGAGAAATAAATCTTCAGTGTGGTAGAAATAACTCTTCAATGTGGTAGAAATAAATCTTCGGTTTAGTAGAAATAAATCTTTAATGCAATAGAAATGACTCTTCGATGTAGTAGAAATAAATCTTCAGTGCAGTAGAAATATTCAGTGTAGGAGAAATAAATCTTCAGTGTAGTAGAAATGATTTATCTTGAATGTAATAGAAATGACTCTTTAATGTCTTTCTCTCTCTCTCTCTCTCTCTCTCTCTCTCTCTCTCTCTCTCTCTCTCTCTCTCTGTATGTGTGTGTGTTTTAACCCTGTGAGTCCTGACGTCCTTAGGCTACTGTGATTTTGATTTCTTTGTTTTTGTTTTGAATGGCTTTCTTTATTTTTATCCTCGACTTTCATTTATTTGCACGCTGTTTCCACGCTCGCTTCATACAGGCTTCCTCTCCTAGTTTGGTCATGGCACCCATGATTTTCCTTCTTTTTGACTTTTTGTCATTAGCATCACTGTCTTTTGTTTGTTCGTGTTTTGAGTGTGATGTATTGTTGTGTTCTATCCTCAGCTCCCACTGAGTCCCAAAACTCTGGTCTAAGTCTGTCCAATGTGAATACCATAGAAGGTCAGTTTTTAAAATAATTGTGAAGCGTGCTGGCAAAATGAGTTAATTCTCGGATTCAAGCCTGATGGAAATAGATACATCATGCTTATAGGTGAAGTTTTTACAATTTATGAGTATGAAATAATAAAAGACATGTTATAGTTATAGAACATGACATCAATAGAAATTTTTAAAATTCGACTAAAGTGTCGATTTTTGGCCAATATCTCCCTTTGTGGATTGCGAGAAGTAACTGATTTTTGTCAGCACATGCCACAATTACTGTTATAATTGTTGTTATACACTGCAGTATTTATGTCAGTTGTTATAACTTGAAGTACAACATTGTACATATGGCAGTTGTTTTTAACTGTTGATTTACAACTACAACAATGATTTACAATGGTACTTGCGGCGGTTGTTTTGATTGATGGTATACAGCAGGATGCTTATTTCAGTCCTTATAAAGTAGCTGATATGCACCATGGTGCTTATGTCAGTCTCTCTCTCTCTCTCTCTCTCTCTCTTCTGGCGCTGTGGCTTTATAAACGGTCAGCGATGTCGACAGCGCGCAGGAATTCGACACTTGCTCGGGGTTCCTTAAAAAGTGCTGAAAGTGGGCTACTGAAATGTCCCAGCAGACCTTGTGTCAGTCATAATAATTGTCGAAATACAACGTGATAGTTATGAAGTTCATCTTTGCAACCTACATTTATTTATACTCACTGTTGTCACAAGGCAGAGCGATGTGTCTGACAAAACTGACAAAGCGTCTTTAGGCCGTTGCCAAAGTGGGGGACATTAACTCATTCACTACACCAAGCCGTGGGCAGCAGCGCTGCGAAAGTGACTTCGCTACGGCAAGCCGCCCCCGACGGCTCGAGAACTGACCTATAATTCTAGCTTAGATTTTGTTCCAATCCCCATATCCATGTTAAAATAAAGGTTATATAACATTGACTTCCGGGTCTAGCGTTTCCACCGAAAATCGAAAATTTAGATTCAGTTTTGAAACGCGATTTCGAAGTCTATGCAACTTTGTTTTATCGCGATGCCAAAATTAAAGCCCAGACACCAGTCTTGGTACATTTACACAACAAAATGTATCATTATTTTGCTCACTAAAGAAATGTAGGACTCTTCTTTAGAATATTGAAACTATTGGACTCAAATTGCCAGTGCTCTGTTATTGAGAAATCAATATTTTTCAGTGCTAGATTTAGGTCTAGATCTAAATTGTCAAAATATTTTTTTTCTCCTCAAAATCACTATCTTTTGGTGAAATTACACAAAAAGTACCACTGAAGACATGTATAAGTTTATTCCAAATGCAATTCTGAAGAATTCCATATAAGATACGAGCGTTTTTTTCTGTTTGTGAATGCATCATGTCCTTATTTTCAAGATCATGAAAAAAAAATATCAGATGTACCCCAAATGTACAAATTTTCTGAAATGTATGTAAATAACTGCAAATATTTCAATATTTTCCCTTTCTGTATTTAGTTATTGTTATTTTGATGTATCGTTTTACTAGATGCAAACATATTTTTTGAGTTTCGCCAAAGATTATTAATTTTTTATTTTCAAGTTTTATCTGCAACCAAGCAAAATTGTGTTGCATAATCGCCTCTTACAGGAACCGAAGTTGAAAAATACACAAATAAACATTTACAGATGTATTCTAACCATACTGAAAATTTTGGTATAATATGTTGATATTTATTTGAATTTGTGGCCCCAAAGACATGTGAACTGCGCACTAGTCACAATCTCATTTCGCCCTCCCGAAAAAATTTCGTCCACAAGCCGAAAATAATATGTAGCGAATGAGTTAACATCCCGAGTTCTTATGCACAGTAGAATTGTAATCGTAAATGGGTTGATTCATCAGTGTCATGCTCATACCTGTGCCTGAACTGCAACGGGGAACTATTGCCTTTTCTTTCTTAATTCTTACTATCGTCATTTTCCTCTACTTCTTTTTGTATGTTTGTCACATTCTTGTGACCCGCTATTTCCGGGGTGCCTTGATAGTCGAAGCAGACTTTTAGCTGTTGAAGCTAGAGAGGTGAGCAGAGTAAGTCTGATTCCCTGTAAGGACTTCTCTGTTGATATCCACCCCTTGGCGCTCATATGGCCTTATGCAGTTGCGAGGGTCGTAAAACCTCTACTAAAACAAAAACAAAACTGGCAAAGGCAGGTTAAAGTGTGTGCATCTGAATTACTTGTTGTCACAGTGGTAAAGCTACATCATAACTGACTAATCTCAATAATAAGCATCAAAAAGTTTTTATTTTAAAAAAATAATAGAATATGCACTTACATTGTCCTGCCCCTTTGAACGACAATATATGTCACGTCGCGGTGGAATCAGGCGCTCGTCAATTTTTGTTCATGTGGATTTATTGATATTATCTTAAAGCTTGTTAATTTATCTTGCTTTTGATGAAAAAAAAATAGCCATCTATCTTGAGCGGAAGTGAAGATATATTGTGATTGAAAGAGGTAAGTTCACTTGGTTTCAGAGGTAAAAATAGCGAGAAAATGGCTGCCAAAGTTTCCTAACTTCGATAGCTAAAGAGTCCTTGAAAACTGAAAAATTGCATATTTTGAGCTTTTAATCGACTTTCAACATAATTCACATGGAAATGTGTTTTTATTTGGACAAGGGTTGAACAAAAAAAGTTCCTAAATTTGTCAGTTGTATGTTTTTTAGTTTGTTAGCTATACGTTCACTGTATGTTTCTCATATTGATTTTTTCTTTCATTCCCTTTGAATGTTTGAGGTGATTTGTATTCTATTATGTATACAATTGAAAAGTGCCATTGAATAGGTGGTTGACGGGTGCTCTGGTGTGGTTTGCTCTTTCTTTCCTATCAAACATCTGTCGTCCGTATCTCTCCTCCTATTTTGTGTATGTTACTGTCTTGTAACCCATAATCTATTCTTCAGCACTTGTATTATATGACCTTATTGTGTTGCAAGTGCCGTAAAAACACTTACTTGAAAAAAAAAAAAGTGCCATTGTAACTTCTACAGAATAAATAATGCTGTCTTTTTTCCTTTCCTTATCACTGACAGATCTGAAGAAGTTCATGAGCACCCTGCCGTTAAAAGAAGGACAGATTGAGCTTTCAGTCCTCACCCCGTATCTAGATAATGCAGACTTGGATCAGGGCAAAATGGAAACTTTTGACTTGGATAGAAATGGCCTTCTCTCTGCGGAGGAATTGGCTGCAGCGTTGGGGTTACAGGATAGTCCAAGGAGATGTAAGTTTGTGTGATAGTCTGTGACTGGATTTGCAGGACAGTCAAATTAGATATCATCAATGCCTTTCACCCCTGGCAGGGTATAGGCCACATACAAGCTTCTTCCATTTATTTCTATCCTAGGCCATCCTTCCTAGTTCCAAGTGAGCTTCATCTCTCTCATGTCCCTTTCCACACATCTCCTCCATGTCTCTCGTGGCCTATCCCTGCCTTGTGCTCCCTGTGGGTTCCATTGCAGTGACTCAAATTAGATATTTAAGTTGTGTGAAAGTCTGTGACTTGATACTATGAGGGACTAATTAGATGTAAGTTGTCTGATAGGCAGTGACTGGATTTTGCAGGATAGTCAAAGAAGATTTTTTAAAAAACCCAGTTATGTGAAAGTCAGTGACTGGAAATACAGGATAGTCCGAGGAGGTGTAAACTGTGTGAAAATCTGGGACTTGATATTGTAGGGAGGGACTGTTCTCTCACAACTGGTGGTGATGTTTGCGCTGGGCTGTGCTACATTTTGTGTCCTGTGCCAGTGAGGCGCCGGGTCTATCAGGCCAATGAGTGTCAGGGATATGACAGCTGCTGTGTATGTCGTGTATGTATGGAAATGACAGCTGCGTTATATGTAAGGAAATGCCTGTTGCAGTAAATGTAAGGAAATAACAGTAGCTGTGTATGTAAGGAAATGCCAGTTGCAGTAAATGAAAGGAAATGACAGTTGCTGCAAGGAAATGTCAGTTGTTGTATATTATATGTAAGGAAATGACAGTTGCAGAATATGTAAGGAACTGACAGTTGCAGTATGTGTAAGTAAGGAAATGCCAATTGCTGCAGTAAAGGTAAGGAAATGACAGTTGCAGTGAGTGTATGGACAGGACAGATGTTCTGTTCTCTCCTGCGTTGTGTTTCTCTTCATATGTTGTGTGAGATTTGCAATTTGATGTTGACTTCCTATGAACTGGAACACACAGGAGTCAAGTTTTTGAACATGATAAAAATATCTGCCTATGTCAGCCCCATTCCTGGTCGCTAAGGACATTTTGTAAAATTTCTTTTGATATTGTCGTAATTACGAGATTTGTAAATCGTAAATTTGTTTAAAATGCGCTCATAATGCTGTTCGCGTGCAGTTTTGAAGTAGACAGATTACTTTGTGGGTTTTCTTCTGTAAAAATATGCTATAAATGTGTAATGCTAATTCGAGCTTTGTATTTTTATTTGAAAAGGTGTTTTCTGTTCAGTCTTCTCTGAAATGTTTTAAAAGTGGTTTGTGTGCATTTTTTCCTACCCTAGATGTTGTCTCGCCTTTGATTTTATCATGAAGGCCTTAATGTGCAATTTCTTCAGGCTTTTACCTTTCAAATGAGAATTTTTTTTAAATTGTCATTTGAACAAAGGAAATAAATAACTCTTGTGTTTGTTATGTTAATGAGGGGAGGAGGGGGGGGGGGTATGAGCAAAAGTTTTCCATGGAAAATGTCCATATTCTGTGGGTTTTTAGTTCTTGTTGAGAGCGAAAGTTTACAGTAAAGAATATCTATATTCTGGTTTACCAATTATTTTATTTCCAGAATTGTTTTGTCATGAACCAGGATTGCTATGAAAACTGTTCACGTTTGTGTATTTGGTATTTCAGAGTTGATGGAGGACACTTGGGTCTACAGTGCTACAGAAGTTGACACCGGCGCTGAACACTTGCTTGGGACACTTGGACATCTGTGCAACCTCCACCTGTTTGTCCTAAGTGGAAAACGTTTCGAACAAAATCCCTCCCCTGGCCCGACCAATTGCCATTGTGTAGCAATGCGACAGAATGAGTCTCTCGTTACATACGCTCAGCTGTTTGGATAATTGGACAAAATCTTGATTTGTCTGTTCTAGCTCTCCTACTTCAATTGACTGTAACTTTGGAACTAAAGTAGAGCGAGACTCATACCGTTTTCACCCTTTTGTAAGTTTGAACAGATATATATTTAATTTGTTGCCCATGGTGTCATATTGTGGAAATGTGGCCTGTGACTCAATTTTGTTGTGTGGCTACACAAGTATTTAGAACAAAATCCCTCCTTTGATGTGCCCACATATTGTATACCTGTCGCTGATTTTTTCGCTTGTTTTTTATAGTTTACATCAGCACGAGTTTGTCTGTTTGTTAATGTAAATTAATATATTTTTATTAGCTGATGATATTGCGATGGTACAAGTTGGACTTGCAGACGGTTTAAAACTGTCAAAATTCTGAGTTCGGAGGTATCTTATTTACAAGTTTTGTCAGTCTTTCAGGGGGCTGTTTATGGAATTTAAGGCTAAATTGTGAGACTACAAGTATACGCAGTGCAGTATGTCATGTATTTTATTCCATTTTTCCTCGTTGAGTGGCTGTAAAGCAAGAAACTGCCGAGTTAGAGAGTCGGGGGCGTTTTTAAACTGTACTTTGTAAAGTGATTCTAGGCAACATGCTACATTTGTCTTGCTATGACTGTAGATGTTTCGATTTTTAGTGACTGATCTGATGTGGATTCTGGTCACCTGGAAGTTGTCTATTCCATAATTATATACAAATCCCAATACCAATGTCCTTCCCCTTTGTTTGACCTATGGTTGTTTTTTTTTTAGGATGAGATTTTTGTGAAAAGTTGAAAAAGATCCATGGGCTTGATTTAATGCTGTGCAAACGTGAAGTGACCTTTGCTTGCAGAAATAGGAAGTATTGAATTTCACGCTCTGAACGGTCATTATTTTTGTACTGACTAGCAGACTTCTCCTCAGGATAGTAAAGATATTGAGTGAGTTGATGACGAGGCTCTCATGTCATTACAGTCAGTTACACACCCTGTGTTCTCACTCAGTCACAGAAAATGTCTTACTTTAACCCAAATTCAGAAATTTGTGCTTTGTAATCTGTTCTGTAGGCAGTGCCGCTACAAACTTTGTGCATGAGATAATAGCATATTTTAAGAGACAGCAGCACATATTATATTCTGTATTGGGTATTTTTTCAATCTGGCATTAGTTGAAAGCACAGTAGAAAGTACAACAGAAAGGTGCTAAGGTATTTAGTTCGTACCAGATGCTGCCCATCAATACTTGGTTAGTGATACCACATGATGTTAACCTGTTTACATAATATGTTCTGTTCTTTTGGTATCTCATTAACAATCATTAATCAGTTCCCACCTAATACTGACCTTGTTGATTTCACCGAACGCTTTTTTATGGTTAAAATTTATGGCTTGTATTTATATCTATAATTGCCTACAATTCAGATGAAAAGTGTCTCATGAAGTCAAGTGTGTGTATATGTCTGTGAGTTTGTGTAGAACAAGAATATACTGTCTGTGAGTTTGAAAAAAAAAAAATTGTTTTGTTGAAGAGCACGCCATCTGCAAATCTAATGCATAAGATGCAAGGATGAAAATGTCATGTTGAAGTTTAAAAGTTACCTGGTTTTTAACCAAACCGCTTGATCTTCATACTAATGTATCTTTCCTAAAAATATTTCTAAGAACTGTTGTTCATGGTGCTTTACTGTGCAAAGTTTTCTTACGAGTTACAAATTCTCCCCTAAAACACATACTGACGAGTTGCAAATTCTCCCCTAAAACACATACTGACGAGTTGCAAATAATTTGATGCGTGGAACTACTAAGATTGTTTAAGGGGTGGTATCTATTAATATATAGAAAAAATCTTGGATACCTGTAAGAGGGTTTACAGAAAAACGGGGTCTCCTGCAGTTCTGAGACCAGTGGGAGGAGACTACAAAGAAGTTTTCACGAAGATGCAAAGGGTCATTTAACTCTATCCGTACGTCGTGTTTTACTATCATATCCATACGACCTGGGAAACTCTGGGCCACCACTTTCCTAAGAGGAATTGTACTCGTTATTCCGACCTGTAGGCTTTGCGTAGCAGTCTGCCAAAATGACTTTTTGAGAAATACTGAAAGTGTCAAAGAGATCTTCGTACTAGAAGTATTCTAAAATGTGAAGAATACAACCCCAGAGACACAAAATGATCCCAAGGCGTACGGATAGGGTTAAGAAGGTACTTTGATGCTGCAGCCTTTACTCATTCTACTAAGCAATATGTTTTAAAGTGGCTGCTGTTCACGCAGACCCATATGTTTATTTCGGTGTCGTTCTTTGACTGTTTTGTTCATTTTTTAAATAACATTTTTCGCGCTGTATTATTAACTATGCCATGCTCATTTCTTTTCCTTCAATGCACATTCAATGACTTGATGATCTAGCCTGTGTTGTCCGACAGTTTCTGAGAACAAAAAGTGAGGAAGCAACCTGGGGCATTACCAAATGTGAGGCATCGTAGTGAAATCAGGCGCTCGTCAAAATAATCAAATCGAAGAAAAAGGCATTTTTCCATCAGTTTGGCAATTTTTATCAAAATTTTGTTTTTTGGCTAAACACCTTTTATGTTCTTTATGAAAACACATTTTCATGTGAATTTTGCTGAAAAACTTTGTTTAAGACATAAAATATGTAATTTTCAGTTTTCAAGTTACCAAACTTTGGGGGTCATTTTCTCATTAATTTAACCTCTGAAACCATGCTACCCCACCTTCTTCAAAGGCAAATATCTCGACCTCTATTCAAGATAGATGGGTCTTTCTTAAAATTGAAAGTAAGGCAATTAATAAGCATTCATATGATACCAATAACTCCAAATGCCCAAAAATTGACGAGCGCCTGATTCCACTGCGTCGTGACACAAATTGTTTTTTTCATCTAGACATTTGGCAGCAGAGACAACAATTGCAGCTGTTTATGAGCCTTGTCATAGGCCTGGGGGTGCCATCCTTTACTACCTTGGGAAACCTAAAACTCAAGGCTTTCCTAGACTGAGTTGTGGCGGGCTTTGTAGCATTTTTTCAGCTGATGGTCTCTTCGCTCAGTTGTTAGCGGCAAGCTCTGTAGTTGCTTCTGCTCACTCACTGGTGTGGGTGGTTGGGGAGTGCTATGGCGTCGTTTGCTTTTTCTTTCCTATCAACCTTCTTTTTTATGTTAGTTACTCTCTTGTAACACCTCTAATCTTTGGCACCTATATGACCTTATTGTGTTGCAAGTGCCGTAAAACACTTACTAAAACATAAAACAAAAGAATCTGACTTTTAGAGAAATTCTGCTGCCTAGAGTTGCGTTTCCTTTGATTATTTGTACAGTAGAGGTTACATCAAGAACAGAAAACAGAAACCAGACCGTGAGGAGTTCATATGCAAGTTGGTATGTTCCCTAGTTTACTGAATTTGATAGGGGCCTAAGAAGTTTCTTTTAATGAATTTTTAATAAATAAAACTCTCTCTCTCTCTCTCTCTCTCTCTCTCTAAATAAATAAATAAATAAATAAATAAATAAAATATATATTGTGTTAAAAAAAAACCCCCAAAAAAACTCACATGGATGTCGCCAATGTGCTTGGAAAGGCTCATACAACTACACAGAGATTTCACTCTATGAGGTCAAAAACTGCCAACAGTGTCACAGAAGCCCATTCTAGGTCTGACGGTTTGTGTGATGTAGAAGAAAGTGGAAACCTACAGGTCTTAATGCTTTTGTAGTTTCTTTGATTATCGTGGAGATTATAGCAGGGATCACAGGGAAATTACCTGCCATTTTTTTTCCATTGTTGAACATGTGTTGTTGGTTTGTGTGCCCACAGAAAACACCTACGGTAAAAGATTCTTTTTTCTCTGTGTGTGGAAATATATTGCCAAGTACACAGGTTTCCTTTAACAGTTGCACATTTCTGGAAATTTTCCTGTTTAAAAAAAAATGTATGCCGCCATATCTATGTATTATATCTGTTCATGTGTTTTGACTCTCGTGTATCAAATTTATCTCTCATTTTATATTTGACAATAATATGTACAAATTGTACTATACAAATGACATTTATTTCTGATATTGATGTATGATATGTTTGTTGTGCTGTGCTGTATGGAGTGATGTTGTCGGGCCAGGTCTATGGAGAAACGATCCATGCGTAAGAGGAGTATGTCTCTGGTCTTGAAAACTCTTGCAAAAGTCTTGAGGTAAAAAAATCTCCTGCTGAGTATAAACCCTGCAGTATAGATGGTGGGTCATTTTGTCCAGTAGGCCTGGGTGGCAGACTCACTCGTTGGTCTCACTCACTTTGAACAATTTAGCAGTCAGTGGATGTGGTGGTGGATTGAGGGAGCTATCTTGAGGACATGAAAAAGTCGGTGACTGTGTGGAGAAGGGGGGGGGCGAGGCGAGAGGGGATGTTGCTGAGGCTGTCTTGCCACGTTAATTATTTGTAATTGATTTTCTGTAGTGCTATTGTGTACATTGAAACTTTGAAGTGAAGATATTTGTGCCTACGGAAATTGTTTTGTGACGCGATTTTTGTGCGATGTGTGTACATCTTATTGTTATTTGTTTCTAAATCATCAAATTCTTTAACTCCACCCATCTGATACTTTCCTGGTGCCATGAAATAAAACGTGTGTAACTATGTGTAGGATTATCCTTTGGAATGGGCCAAGGATTTTCAGTGGTAATTTTCCCTTTGTAATTGTTAACGGTAGAGAATCACAACGTGCTGAATGCTCTTGCTAATGCTTTGGCTTTCCAGTCCCTTTGAGATGGGGCATTCGCCTTTTCCTCTGTCGTGCTCATAATCATAATCATGGTAATGAGAGAAGACTGGATGTCTCGGACTTAGGCTTTGGTGAAGGACCAGAAATTCACTTGAAATTGTCCAAAATGGCCACCCATTTTCAAGGGGTAAACCGGTTGTCATAGACGGATGGACGTCTTTGGACAGTGTCATTATCGTAAAGAAAAATTACAAGATAAGATAAAATCGGATAGGATACATCTTTATTGTCCAGTTCCTGGCACATTGGTTTGGTTTTTCACCACGTACAGACACGTACACACACACTTACACACACACACACACACACACACACACACGCAGGCTTACAGTCACATGCATAATATAAATGAACAGCAAATATAAACAGTAATAATCTTAAGCTAGCTACATACTCAGTGTTATTCTGGTTCTGATGCATGCTGTAAGTTCATATTAATACTTATAATAAGATGGTTACGGTGGAAGAATTTTGATAGGTGAAAGTGAAAGTGGGAAGTGGTGGTTTGGACAGGTGTTTGTCTTGGAAAAGTGGCCATCAGAGTGTATTTTTGTGTGGATTTGGTGAAGGAATGGACATGTTCAATGTGTGGATCAGAAGAGAAATATTTTATGTGTGGATCAGAGAGGAATGAATTGATGTGGGGGTTTTTCTGCACTGCACGGGCAGACAAACTGGTCGTACAACACAGTGCCCCTATCTGAGAGTGTACTGTGTTGTTGAGATTGAGAGTGCTGTGTGATTCACAGTGTTGTACACTCGTAGACTGGCACCTCCATGTGCACACACATTCTCACATATACACACACGTATGTACACACACACACACACACATTCTCACATATACACACACATATGTACACACACACACACACATTCTCACATATACACACACATATGTACACACACACACATTCTCACATATACACACACATATGTACACACACACACACATTCTCACATATACACACACGTATGTACACACACACACACATACTGACACCTTAGTACTCGTATACTTGCACACACACACACACACACACACACACACACACATTCTCACATATACAAACACGTATGTACACACACACACACACATACTGACACCTTAGTACTCGTATACTTGCACACACACACACACACACACACACACACACACACACACACATTCTCACATATACAAACACGTATGTACACACACACACACACATACTGACACCTTAGTACTCGTATACTTGCACACACACACACATTCTCACATATACACACACGTATGTACACACACACGCACATACTGACACCTACTCGTATACTTGCACACACACACACACACTCTCACATATACACACACGTATGTACACACACACGCACACATACTGACACCTTAGTACTCGTATACTTGCACACACACACACACACACACATTCTCACATATACACACACGTATGTACACACACACACATACTGACACCTTAGTACTCGTATACTTGCACACACACACACACACACACACACACGCATATGTACTCACACACACATACTGACACCCAAGTATGAATACTTGTGCACACTCACACACACACTCACACACACACACACACACACACACACTCACGCTTATTTACACTGCTACACGCACATATGTTTGCATATATATATATAATATATTATGAAAGAAATTGTAAATTGTAAAGACACTTTTAAAAATGAATACACAATGCAACAATGGCACCTACATGTATATTTATATGGGTTGTTTTTAAACATAATACTTAACCGGTCAGCCCACAGTGTTGTCTGCCTATGGTGTGGTCGCGGTGTGGCCGTATGTGCGTTGCCACAAAGGGAGTGATGTTTATTGAGCTTTCAGTGGCCAGGGAAACTGGGGATACAGGCCACATGTCAATGATAACGATCGCAAAGTAGTATAAGTCTAAAATGACTGCCTTTTACTTCAAGAAAAACTGTGTGCGAGTGTCAAGCTTGCCAGAAAAGTTATATAATATATTTATACATTTTAAAAAATTGCTAACGTTGTGTTTGGTAATTCTCCCACCGGTGTCTGTGATGCAGCGGTAAGTCTCTTTGCTTCCACATGCAGAAGATCTGAGTTTGATTCCTGGGTGGATAGAATTTTTATCGAGTAGGTCTCGACTTTTCTGCTGGGTCGTTTGATCACTCTCTGCCAGGGTTAGTCAGATAGGCCGAGTTGAAGCCTGCCTCCAAAATGATCGAATTGTGAACTGGGGTGTAAATTCACCTACAAATGGAAAAAGAAGAGAAGTAAAAAAGTAAATTTCCCCTCTGTAAACTGGCACTTTATGAAGACATGGTACATTATATTTATAACGGTGTCTAAATAGTCTCTTCAGCAAAGAATAAAATTTGATGTAATTTCACTCTGAATAGTTTGCTACTGTTACCGTTGATATTTTGTTTGGTACATTGTTTGCCCTTCTATGTTGTAGAAAAAAAAAAAGTAATCATTTTCCTTATGTACTGAGCATATGTCGTTGTCCTCTGGTTCTGTACATTTTTGGGGAAAAGTTATTTTGTCTGTGAAAGGGAATCCTGTCCAGCATTGTTTGTCTGCTGTGATACTCTATGTCTATGTTTGATACGTGTATCCTGTGCGAAGTGATTTTTTAAATCTGTATCTGCACCAACTCATGTATGTGCGATATTTATCCCAAGTGACAAATTTTTTAACGTTTTATCTCGGTTGCCTAGTGTAAGACTCCGCCACGCACCATTCTGAAAAGTGACGCAGGATGGATTCCTACACTGAGCAGTCAATCTGTTTCTGCCCCAACTCATGTGTGTTCGACATACGACATATTTTATCTGTATCTCTACCCCAATTCATGTGTGTTTGATGACATATCCCATTCCCATACGACATATTATCTGTATATTATCTGCCCCAACTCATGTGTGTTCGATAACGTAATCCCACGCGACATATTTTGTCTGTTTCTCTACCCCAACCAGTGTGTGTTTGATGGGAATCACAAGTTTGGAGGATTCACTTAATACAAAAGAAGGAAGCACAGCAAGTGCACAGACTCAATGTATCTGAAGAAAGAGTCGCATTGTTACACAGCACACCACTTGATCTTTCATTCTCTGTCATTGTTCAATTTGTGCTCGACCAACTTGGTTTCTTCTGCTTTTATTAATTTTTTTCTTTTCTCGCTTCAAAGAAATGAAATTCATTGTACCAACATGCACATAGATAGATATGTGTGTGACACTCTCTAAAGTATATATGTGTGTGTGTGATGTGCTTGACCGCATGTCTGAAGCACTTATGCGTGTGTGACACAATTAAATATGTGTCTGTGACACACTTTGATACGTCTGCAACATATATATTATGTGAAGTGTGCAAGGATCAAGTCTCAAGCTCATTCCACTCTCCTTCGATTGTGATTGAAATTATGCTAAAGAATTTCAGCCTCAGTCTCACGGCCCTATTGATATCTTTAAGGAATGGGCAACATAAACAATTAATTGGACATTTGGGAAGCATAGTTAGCTGATATTTTTGTTTGTCATATATGATAGTAGACTCATACTTTTTTTTAAATTGTAGACACACACTTTTGTTTATCATATATTATATATCATAGTAGTAGACTCATACCTTTGTTTGCGCTCATATGACCTTAGCAGTTGCGAGCGCCGTAAAACCTTATACTACTACATACCTTTGTTTATAATGTCTAGCAGGCCCATACATTTCTTAATGGCATTATTCTCAGCTTTGGACCTGGTGTAGGCCTAAATGATCACTTTTATTGACAAGCAGCTAACCCAGATTTAGAGAGTTCCCAAAAATCTTGACCAAAACCTAAAGTGGGCATTGCCCTACGTGTAGGAGAAGTTTGATTTCATGGGTGTATATATTTGTTTGGTTATTGAGAAAACTCCCCTTGTCTTTTAATTTTTAAAAAACTAAGCAAGGGGCAAAAACTTTATCTTCGATTTTCTCAAAACAGCATTTTTCAGGATAGCCCCTTTGTGCTTAAAAGCGACCATATGTGTGGAGTCTTTTGGTCAGGGTGGGTCCGATTATTCAGTTTTTGTTCACTAGTGTTTTATAGAACTATCTATACAGTGTTATTGCTCAGAGAACTTATCTTTACAACGATGTTGGTCACATAACTCTTTCAGACAGCATTGTTGTTATTTTTAGTCATAGAAATTTCTACATTGCGTTGTCACAGAACTTTCTACTCAGTGCTGGGGGTGGTTGGCGGATGTTCTGGTGTGATTTTCTCTTTCGTTCCTATCAAATCAAGCGTGTTTTCGTCCTCGTCTCTCTTCTTTCTTTTTCTTTGTGTCCTGTTACTCTGCAGTATCACCTCTAATTTTTGTCACAATTTATGTGATCTATTTGTGTTGTAAGTGCAGTAAAACTCTGACTTAAACTGAATTCAGTGCTGTCTATCATAAATCTCTACAGTGGTGTTGTTGGCCACAGAACTATCCACACTTAACTATCGATCAGGAATTGTAGAAACTTTGCTACTCAGTTCTGTCGATCACAGAATCGAACTGTTTTACTGTACACAGTATGGTTGTTTGTCATAGAACCTTCGCCACAACGACGTTAATTACCGGACTGTAACAGACAATGCTGTTGTTTTTAGTCATGAAACTTTCTACACAGCTCTGTCAATCATCGTCTTGTACACAGTGTTGTTGGTCACACAATTCACACACAACGTTGCTTCCTGTCAGCGGCGATTTGACTGGAATATTATTAGGCTAGTTGTTACATATCATACTCATACTGGGAGCTGATGCTGCTTTTTGCAAAGTTCAACTTATAACCAGATATTATTTGTGAGGTTTGTTTTCTCATTGGTCGTCGGAAAGTGATTGTGTCTTTTTAACATGCTGGGGGCGTGACATTGTAGAGGATTGAAAGTAGGGTCGAATAAAACTTTGAAAGCTTTTTTTTCCAGACTTTGTGCTCTTTTATTTGATTAATGAGTAGTCTTTCAATATTTTTAATCCTTCTTTTTCATAGGCATTTCCAGAATAATATACCAGTATTTTGTTTATTACACAGTTGAGATTGGCATGCAGCAAAATTTGCCAGAACACTGAACAGGAGCAGAAGTATTGATATGAGACATGTTGTTGAAAGAAAAACGTTTGTGAAGTTTATAGTTTGTCATTCGCTGTCAATCAAGACTCAATCAGTTTCCATTTACTTTTGAAGGCTCATTTTCCCATCGGAGATGGACATTTGCTGCGAATCCCTGACTCCCTGACTTTAATGCCAACAAACATTGTTGAAAGAGGTGTAAAACTTGTATGTGATATATAACATATCTATGAGTGAAATATATATTCATATCTCTTCAAATTACTAATCTTATCATATGTAAAAATCTAGACCTCACTAGGACCACGAGCTGTCTGCAATGTGAGAAATAAGACTTTCTTGTTGTTGATACTGCTTTTAACTCTTCAATAGAAACGAAATGAGGTAGGAAAGAAGAAATAGACGTAGGAAGGAAAGGTAAAGGCTGAGTGGAGGTAGTGGAAGAAAAAAAAGAAGGCGTGAAGCTCGAGAGGAAGTGCTGAGGACAAGTAATTTTCTCGATGATTGTCAGTGACATATGTACCACAGTCTCAAAATTCAGATTTGTCTTTTTCTCTTACTGTTTGAATTGAGCACAAGAACCATTTAATTAAGATATACCATGTAGAGATGATTGATTATCTTTCGAGCCTTCTTTCTGGTCTGTGATTCTTCATGCCATCTTGCTACTTTTGCTTCTTGGATATAATTATATATATATATATACAATATAACACGGATAGCTCGAATTCGTCAGGACTGGCCTCCGTAGTTTGAGGGATTCGTATTTTGAAGGATATCTTACAAAGATAAGGAAGGGAAAAAAAAATGGACCGCAGGCAGTTTGACGGATGCGTGATTTTGAGTCTTCTGTGTTCGACCTATCTGTGTTATACTGTACATATATTATAATAATAATTATTATCATTATTATTATTATTATCATTATTATTTTTGTTGTTATTCGATGTAGGCTACTTCTACAGTAGAACTGGTGAATTTGCGTAGAAGGTGCTGACAACATTATTAAGTTACCGTCTACTGTTCCTGAATCTTAGGCTGTTCGGAGACACTATGCTTGTTGTATTCCCAGCCAAAAAGAGAATATTGATTCTCCTCCGATGCAGTGCTACTGACTGGTCTCTAGGACATTCCCAAGGGGGGACATTAACTTGTTCTTATGCACAGTAGAATTGTAAATGGGCTGACTCATCAATGTCATGCTCATAACTGCCTGAACTGCAACAGAGAACTGCTGCTTTTTCTTTCCTAATCCTTACTATCATCATTTTCCTCTACTTCTTTTGTTTACCATGTGTGTCACACTCTTGTCACCCGCTATTTCCGGGGTGCCTTGATAGTCTAAGCAGACTTTGTGCTGTTGAAGCTAGAGAGGTGAGCAGAGTAAATCTGATTCCCTGTAAGGACTTAACTGTTGACATACACCCCTTGGTGCTCATATGACCGTATGCAGTTGCGAGGGCCATAAAACCTTTACTAAAACTAAAACTAACTAAAACATTGATTCCCAACTTTAGCCTTTTCAATGGGGCCCTACACATGTATGTTCCAACCGGGCGGTTTTAACGTGAGTGGAAACCAGCATTTGATAGAACCACCGCACAAAACCGCCATTTGACAGGTCGGCGCGTCATCCACATCACGCGTGGTTAACCGCAGTTAGTGTACTGACAATGACGATTTGCTAGCAATGTATGTGCTGCTCATGAGGAAGAATTTTGTTTTCTCTTTAATTATATTTAAAAAAGCACAAATTCTGCTCGGATCTTGCCTTAAAAATGGGTCGCTCATTTAAAAGTAGATCTAATCAGATTTTATGTGTGGTAATTCATTTTGAAGAAATTGACAGTGACAAGATAAGCGGGCTAAGCCTGTGACAGAACACGCTGAACTGTATTCAGAAAATCCACACTTTGAAACCGCCGGTTCCGCCTCCCGGTTTAACTTTTTTTCTAGCAGTTTTTCGTCCATATCTGCGGTTCTACCGCCAGGTTTGCCTTTCCATTCCGAACCGGCAGTTTAGACGGTACATGTGTAGAGGGCCAATGTCAGACTTGACACAATCAGGCACTCGTCAGTTCACGACACAATCAGGCACTCGTCAGTTCACGACACAATCAGGCACTCGTCAGTTCACGACACAATCAGGCACTCGTCAGTTCACAACACAATCAGGCACTCGTCAGTTGGGGGCATAATATAGAGTTACTGGTATCATCTAAAAGCCTGTTCATTTGTCTTGCTTATGATGACAAAATTACACACATGATGCATCTTGACTAGAAGTCGAGATATTTGCAATTGAATGAGGTGGGGGTCGCCTGGTGTCAGAGATAAAATTAACTAGGATATAGCTGCAAAGTTTGATCTCCATGATACCACATAGGCCTACTTATCTTGTTCATTAATTTTTTTTAAACAAACCAACCCCCCCCCCCCCCCCAAAAAAAAACCTCAAAGTATTCCGAAGGCACTGATGTTGAGATTCCTTTTATCCGAAAATGTAATAAGGTAAGCAGTCGTAATTAAATTAAAACACCTGTACACTCTAGCACGCACATAGCAAACTGATAGCGTGTTTTTTGTTGTAGACTGGACAAAAGAATTGACTTTTAACTATTACTATTAAGTTATAATTAAAATAGTACGGCCGTTATTTGAATGGACATAAGTAAAAGTTGTACAGAATTTCACTGACAGTCGGTGGGTGGTGCTCTTTATTGGTAATGTTTGTGTGATGGAATGTTTTTCTGTACAGCCAGCGTGGGTTCGAAACCCATCCTTGTCGCCAAATATGTGATGCCTCCATTATTTATAGTTCGGATAAACATAGATAGTCCAGCACAACAACCGTACACAGAAATCGGCAACCAACCATGTTGGATATTTATTATTTTATGACATTACTGAATCATAACTTTTTTTTGCTCATCCTGAAGAATGCTAAATTAATTAATTCAAACGAGGAGAAATAACTACGGCATCTTGTGATAGTGAACCAAACATAATTTTATTGCTCATTTAACAGATATTTACAGATATTACAGTTTACCCAGTCCTACCCTGACAGAAAGTCTGAACAATTTTTTTATGATGCCAAGAGCACTGAAATCTAGTTGTGCACACTTTCCTAGCGTGCACATGTTTTGCATGTCTTATCGAACAAAATCCAGGTAGGCTACCTCATTCACCTTTACTCATTTTTTTTTTTTAACATTTGAAAGTAAGGTTGAAATTTTGTATCATAAGTATCAATGAGGTGAGATGACAATAATTGTTTGATGAAAAATAAATGGAACAAGTTTTAGCTTGAACATGAATCATACATGACGTGTGCTGTGAATAGATACAATTGATTCTGTGTGGGGGTTTTTAAGCTCATCCATATTTTGTAAAGTGATGAAGTCGGAGAAAACAAATTGTGCCGGTTTGAAATAATGTGTCTTCTTGCTGGCAGCAGAGCAAAAATATAAGAGGGAAACCGGATGAAAGCTTACAGTAACGATAATATGTGTCACGACGTGGTGGAATCAGGCGCTCGTTATTTTTTGGGCATATGGAGTTATTGGTGTCATCTTAAAGGTAGTTCATTTGCCTTGCTTTCAATTAAAAAATATCTATTTATCTTAAACAGAAGTTGAGGTGTTTGGGATTGAAGGGTGTGGGGTCGCCTGTTTTCAAAAGTAAAATTATCGAGAAAATGGCTGCCAAAGTTTGGTAACTTCAATAGCTTAAGAGACCTTGAAAACTGAACATTACACATTTTTTGCCTTTAAACAAGGTTTTGCAGTAAAATTTATATGGAAATGTTTTCATATGAACATAAAAGGTGTTTAGCAAAAAAACAAAATTTCGATAAAAGTTGCCAAACTGGTGGGAAATGCCAGTTTCTTGACTTTCATTATTTTGACAAGCGCCTGGTTTCACCATGCTGCCTCACATATGTTCATGGTGCTTTCTGCATCAATAAAGTTCTTTTTTAGGTTCGACCAAACTCAAACATGTAAACTCTAACAACTAGCATACTGTGCAGCCTCTCTACAATGACATCGCTGGACAAGAAAAAAAACGTCGTTAGAGAGAGTTGTCATTACAAGAGAGCTAACCAAAAATTACTAAAATGATATATATATAGGAAAAAAAATTGGGACCTGGACACCATGTCGCTATACGAAGGATGTCGTTATATCGAAGGTCATTATAGAGAGGATGCACTGTATTTTAAAATTAAAATTTGAACCATTTTCTGTGCTGAGTTTACTTCATGGTGGCTTTTTATTTTCATGGAGGTTTCAGAAAGAATAAATTGTCATCACATGTATGTCTAGGAGATTGACTGTACATTTTTTGTGCTCCCACTTGTTGGGCTTGAAAAGATTTTTTTATGAGGCTGTTAACAGCATGCTAGCAACTGGTCTTGAGAAGTTACTAAAATTTTAATGTTCTGGAAAAATTGCAGCGAAAATCGTTCACTCCTTTTGTCTTCTATTTTCACGAGGCTCAAACTCAAACAATTGTGCTCGTTTTGTAAATATTTTTTCTGTCATGGACTGGGCACTTTTTTGGCTTTGTGGTGTGATGAATTTTTCATGTACAATAAATGATTTATAAAATAAATGCTTGTGTTTATTTTCCTGGGTTTTTTTGTGAGTGTGTTGGTCTTCCTGTCTCTTGTCTGAGAGGTTTGAGCGTGTAGATGATGCCTACTTCTTTTCTGTCCCTCTGCTGTTTCTGTTGGTCCGTCTTACTCTTTCCCCGCTCTAAATCAGTGTTTGTATGGGTCTTGAAAAACTCTTGGAATGTTTCTACTTTCCAAGACATGGAATAACTCTTGGAACTGTTTCTACTTTCCAAGACATGGAATAACTCTTGGAACTTTGGGAAGTTGGCAAAATTCTTGGAAAAACATTTTTTAACTAGATCTATGGTAAAAATATTTCCTCTAAGTTTAGAAGGCCTCGACTTTACGCAGTCTGAAGTGTACCATACGTATTTTTGCACGATGAACAAAAATTTGTCTTCCGAATTGACATGTTATTCGTCTTTGAAAAATGAAATCTGGCCTTGAAAACTCTCGCAAAAGTCTTGGGACGTCCACCAAACTTTTGTCTTTGAGATCTCTCCAACACCATAAAGCAAATCTGATGATACAGAAGAAAAACAAGTGGGTGGCTGGTGAGTGTCCTCGTGTGGTATGCTCCTTCTTTCCTGACAAACATCTATCATCCTCGTCTCTCCTCTTTTTTTTTTTTTCATATGTTATTTTCTAGTGACACTCACCTATATTCTTCCGCACTTATATGACCTATTTATGTTGCATTAATCAAAACTGAAACTACAGAACAAAAATAAATTAATCTGTGAAAGTTTTTTTTTCTGTTGATATATAAAAGAAAACACAAACCACAGTCATCACCTAAAGAGCTTTTATTATCAACAACTTTCTAATACACAGTGTTATAATACCTCCTGTAATCTTCATCTTGGGGTTTCAGAACACACTTGTCTCTTAAATTCACAATCCAGCCTGGCTCAAGCCCGTAGAATAGTTGCAAAGGGTCTTTCCTCATAAGCAACAAGTCTTTGACGGGATCCGAACTCAGATCCGGGAGTTTGTAGCCGTATTTCTGTGCCAGGCGTTCTCGGGCTTCAAGAATCTTCTCTGGATCTGCCAGATAGCCGCGGGCGTTGGGATCAGAATAGTAGGCAAGGGCGTCCTGAAAAACAGTGAAAGTAGTGGAAGTTGATTATACCGCAATGACAGTAAAACTTGGTGAGTCAGCAATAGCGGTGGAAGTTGATTACATGTATTTGTTGCTGTGTTTTTTGTTTGTTTGTTGTTGTTTTTTAAAGTAAGGTTTTACGGCGCTCGCAACTGCGTAAGGTCATGTGAGCGCCAAGGGGTGGAACGTCAACAGAGAAGTCCAAACGAGGAATCAGACCTACTCCGCTCACCTCTCTAGCTTCAACAACACAAAGTCTGCTTCGACTATCAAGGCACCCCGGAAATAGCAGTTCACAAGAGAGTGACAAACATACAAAATAAAAAGTAGAGGAAAAATGACGATAGTAAGAAGGAGGAAAGAAAAAGCTGCAGTTCCCCCTACGTTGTTCCAGCACAGTATGAGCATGGCATTGAAAAATCAGCCCACTTACAATTCTACTGCACCTAATAACATGTTAATATCCCCCCTTTGGGAATGGCCTGAAGACACTCCAGTCAGTTGCACTGCCCAGGTAGGGGAGAAGTTGATTATAGGCCTACCGCAATGACATCAAAATAGCATGAGATAGCAAGCAGTGGAAGTTGGTTATATAATAAGTAGGCTACACTACAATTAGTTTTAGTTTTAGTAGAGATTTAACGGCGCTCGCAACTGCATAAGGTCATATGAGCGCCAGAAGATTAGAGGTGTTACAAGAGAGTAACAAACATAAAAAAGAAGTAGGGGAGATAAGGACGATAGATGTTTCACAGGAAAGAAGAAGCAAACCACACCAGAGCACCCGCCAATTACCCACAAACTAAAATGAAACTCTTAATATGTACATTTAAGTAGTGGGGCCCAGCTTTTAATTTGACTTAATCAGAGACTTCATTGAAGGCAATAATAAGAGCTTTTTTGATAAGTTATTGCTGGTAGGCCTACAAGTGCGGGCTGTGTAAAAAGACCGATTCGCTGAAATGTTCGGTCCCACAAACCCATTGCTTGGATCTAGATCTATGTCTATCACAGCTCAGTAGCCAGTAAAAGAATATTTATGACTGTGTCGTCTCTGTATCTCTTCCGACATTCCACTCCTGGAATGCTTATGTCTTCACCCACCCCGCCCCTCACACCACACACACACACACACACACACACACACACACACACACA